CCCCAAAACCCCAAAACCCCAAAACCCCAAAACCCCTTAAAGAAAAAATGTGATTGATTTATAAAATTAAATTAACCCAGCAATCAAAGAAAATATGAAGAACATCTTCAGTGTTCCAGACTGGCTCCATGATTTAAATGGAGATCCTCAGAATCCTTTCAGCTTCCATGAGAATGAAGCCCTTTGAGAACTTGACACTCTCAGAGACAGTTTCATGGTTCAAGCTAGAAGGGAGTCATTCGAAAACCTTGACTACATGTGCTATGATAAGAGCTTACCTCAAATTCCAGACAGCGATCAGTTCGATGATCGCTTCTTTAACGAATCTGTTGGTACTCAACAAGTCAAAGATGCATATGTAATGAGTCAAGGAGTTTCGATTTCTGATGATCAAGCCAAGTCGAATGCTGTTTCAAAAGATGCCTGAATCGGACAAACCTCCACCTCAACGAATTATGATAACTCTTCTGTTGTATCCCAACCTTCTGAAGAAGAGATCTCTGAGAGAGACCTTGAAGGTCTCGCAGAGACTCCTTCAATCAGAACTTCTGAGGAGCGCACCAAGCAAGAGTTAGCTGTCGGAGCAGGCCCTAAGAAAGAAGCTGTCGAAAAAACTGATGAAGAGAGCTTAATCTTCCTCATTAGAAAAGTCGACAGGAAGACGAAGAAGTCAAAACTTCTTACTAAGCACAGGAAAAGGATTACTAAGTGTGAGCATAGACACTTGGAGTATTACGCAAAAGGAATGTGCAAGAACTGCTACCACAACAAGGGAAAGAGATCCAAGAAGGCATCCAAATGTCAGCATTTGGACAGAGGCCATTATGCAAAAGGGCTCTGCAAGAACTGCTATCTCCACTTCTTCCATATAAAGAAGAAGGCTAAGAGGAGAGAAGCTTCTTGCTCTGCCCAGTCATCTATATAAACACCAATTTATCAAATAGGCCTGTTGAAGGCCTTTCTGAGCCGGTTGGCTCACCATATATCAAAACAAGTATCAAACCAAATATCAAACCCTGCGGTTTATACCATTAATATCAAATTCTTCTCTAAGAAGTTATCAAAATTCCTTCTTTTCTTCACACTTTCTGGGTTGGTTACATTTGGACCTGCATCTCTGGGCCAAAGGTCCACCCCATAGGTATTCTAAGAACTCACGAGGATGTTTGCAGGAGAATGGACCAGGCTGGTAATTTCCCAGTCTCTCTTGGCCACATGGTGCATCCAATATTCTTGGGAGGACAAGTAACACTGTTGTTATTCCTCAAAATAGGTAATCAACGCGAAGGTTATTACAGGTAGGTGAAATTTTGATTCATTGATTTGCCATTTTTGTTCCTAGTTCCAAATCTAGTGGCGAGTCCACACTGGTGAACTTGGTGACTGTTGGTATATTTTCAAAAGGATTGCACCCTCTGATTAGACTTCTACAGCAATGGAGAAAAATAAAAATACAGAAATATTTTAAACCCGGTCGTGCTTAAAGCTGATTTAAACTTAGTAACTTCAGTTATTTAACGCCCGTTAAAGTTTTGCACATGGAGAAGAATCCCCAAGACCAGAATAGAATTTCTAAAACTCTTAAATGTGATTTGTCCATTCGAACGGGCTCTTATCGTACATATTGAATAGTTTAAATTCCAATTGGGATTATTTAGGTAGGGGTTTTGGGGTTTTGGGGTTTTGGGGTTTTGGGG